CCTGTATCCCGGGCTTGTTGCTTGCTTGCTCCGGCAGATCCTTTTTTAAATCCGTCCGGAAAACGTTGCCCGGAGTCCTCTATTGGCCTGTGATGGCATATTGCAGAGGTCAGCAGGTGGCGAGAACTGAATTAACTGCTACCAGCGACTGGGGATTATAGCTGACTGATAACTCCTAAGTGACTGCAGCTGTTGCGCACAATGGTTACTGTATCTATCGCAACGAGGGAACACAGGCATCGGGAGCGGCTTGGAAAGTTTCACATTCGCGCAGGAGCTGAGCAGATAAGGGGGGAGGGGAGGCTCTTTTAGGATTGTGATTGAGCTAAGATATAACTACACGCTTATCACTGAACCCTTGATGATGTTCTCAATCTTGTGAATGGGCCTTCATTCAGACCTTTTCATAACTCGCTTTCAGATCTTATTTTCAATTCGCTTTTAAACTCCACACACACACACAAATGTCGTGAGTGTCTCATGTGTGGGCTGCTTCGTGCCAAACTGGACAGAAGGAGTTAATGCTTCCCTGCAGCGCGTCACTCTGTCTCTGGCAGCTGCTGTAATCTGAGCCACCCAGCCAAGTCGGCCAGGGAGTTTGCTGAGATGCCAAGGGGGGGTGGGGGTGGGGGGACACAAGAATGTAAAAAAAATAACGACAAACGCTCAGCCCATCTAGAGAGCTTGATTGCTGATAGCTCAGTGATACCGGGAACAGCCCGGCCTTTCAGAGCAGTTCCCACAGCCTCCCACAAGCTCTTGTGGATAAAATACACTGCCTCCTGGTTTCAGCCTTTAAATGAACTTCCCTGTAATAGATAATGGGTTATGGAGAACGGTGGGCGGGTCCACTTTTGCAGGAAGAGCGCGTATGTGCAGAAGTGCCTCCTGTCTTTCAAAACCGTGCCTGATGCCTTATCTGCCAGGCCACACTCCTGCAGGCCAGAGTCCCAGTCTGTAGCAGAGGGGGCGATGGGTGGATGGGGAGAGCTGAGATCATATTTAGCATCTCGTTCATAAAAACGTGTGTTTTTGAGGTCCGCTGAGATGAAGTCTATAGTATCAGTTTTAAATGTGAGGAAAGATGAGTAGGTGGTGTGTTGAGATAGATATCTGTTAAGGGGCTATAAATAATCCCAGCATCTCTGAACACACACTCGGTAACTCCTCTGCTGTTGTTGAGGAAGGAGTGTTTGTTTTGCTGGTGACACTGGGAGGTCAAAGGTAACCTGGGGGCTTGCTTACAGCCGGGGGGTGTTTTTTATTATCAAGGGCTCGAGGACTTGTTGTCTCTCTAGCTTCGTTTCCGCGCCGCGCGGAGCGCAAGGAAAACACCCGCGGTCTCGTTTTTCATCTTCGTCAGGAAACACAACCGACAGCCGAGCAGGAATGTTTTGTTTTTTTTTTACGAAAATGCCACAAACAAAAAAACACAACCAAAAACGATGGCGAGAACGGAAGCTCGCGCGCTTCAAGAAGTGACAACTGAGCTAATTAAATGTGGTTGAAAGAAACTTGTCTGCCCACGCTGTCACAGATGTCGCAGTTTTACAAAAAGCCACTGAAAAGTATACAGTGGTGTTTAAAAGTTTTCAACTGCATGTTTCACAGAATCTCCAAGTGAAAAGACGTTAACACAACCTCCGCAGGGAACGAACACGCATTTCCGTCCGTTTTAATGCACAAGTGCTATTTATTTGCTGGATTTCACCGATTGAAAAAAAAACAACAGCGAAGGTGGCATGTGCAAAAGTTAGGCCAGTTGATTCATTAATACTTTTTACAATTATTATTATTATTTTTTATCCCGTAAGACTGAATCCTGAGAAAGAATCGACAAAGTGTGGTCTAAGGGCGTTGACCGCGATATCAATAGAACACAATATAAAGTGTCACAAAAGAAAGAGCATTCAGCCTGAATTTACACTAGGTCCATAATATTGTAACGCTTACGGCCGACAGGCACTGTGTAAGAGCCGGCGTACCAGAGCAGGTGATGTCACCGCCCTTCCCTGAGATAGCAGGACCACAGCTACTGGGCTGTTGAGAGATCTCTCTTTGGTACGGGGCTAGGTCGCTGCAGAGAGACGCGGAAGTCCCGGGTTCGAGCCTCCAGTCGGGATGGGGCCGACCGGATGCGGCAAGGGCGCCCACCTGAGCCCCCGTTGCGTTACAATATAATTATATTACTTAAATATTTATTAATGTCTTACGTATATATTTGTAAATGTCATAATATTCCTGACATATACTTATTACAGTTATAATCACTATATAATTAATATTACGTATGATTTTATTTATTAATATATTTTTTATTGATTATCTTCATTGCTGACGGATCAATTGAAATAAAACAGGGTGGGTCTCCAGCCCTCCACCCTCGCAAGGCAGGTCTCTTGGCTGCAGATCCTTAGCCACAGAGCCACCACAATAATGATCAGATTGTAGTAGTTCAGGTGGGGAGCTGCGTCAGCAAGTAGGCTGCAAAGGAACAAGTAATAGGTTTATTCCCTGCTGAAAAAAAAGAAGAAAGAAAACACAACGTTTCGGTCGCGGAGCCTTCTTCAGGTGTGATTGTCACTATTATTGATTGTGTGTCAATTTGTATGTATTATTCCAGTATGTTAACGCTGCCTCCTTATGCTGTTTCATTGACATTATTTTCTCTATTGAGTCAACTTCACTGGACACAGTTAGCTGTAGCAGCACGGGAACTGCATTTCAAAGGCAGTAGGTTCTGTATTAGGATGCACGCTGAGTAAAGTACAGCAGATGATTGGTATTTGGGCAGGTGCAGTGGCCAAGTCACCGTAGACGGCCCCTTTTCACCCTGCTCCCCCTGACTCTCCTCTTGGCCTTTTCTTCTCTTTTTCTTCCCTTCGCAACAAATCCCGTGGGGACTGACGGCCGCTCCTGCAATCAGAGGGGCCGCGATCACACCCCGAACCAGAATGGGCGGGACAAGAAGAAGAAGCAGAAGGAGAAGGACCTGGATGAACTGAAGAAAGAGGTGTCGCTGGTGAGGCCTTCCGCATGGTGTTCCTGAAACCTCTGCTTCTCTGACCATCCCCTCGTGGCTCCTCGTACGCCTTGCTCCACATCCATAGGTCCGATCGAAGGAGATAAACACTTCTCCGTTTTCTTACAGGACGACCACAGAATAACCCTGGATGAGCTGGGCCGAAGATATGGAGTGGATCTGTCTCGGGTAAGATAAGAGAAGATCACTTTATTGGCCCTATACAATCTCTTGCATTAGGAATTTGTCTTTTCAGAGACCCCAGCTTGCTCTCCATGAGACACACAGACAGGGCCCTAGAGCCCTTTGCTTTTGCAACATGATTAACAGTAAGATCAGATCAGATCACTTTAGTGGCCATATACTGTACAATTTCTTGCATCAGGAATTTGTCTTTTCACAGACCCCAGCTTGCTCTCCATGAGACACACAGACAGGGAGTGAAGCTGGGGGTCAGAGCACAGGGTCAGTCATTTATACAGCACCCCTGGAGCAGCTGGGGTGAAGGGCCTTGCTCAGGGGCCCAACGGAGTAGGATTCCTCTGCCGGCCGCAGATATGAACCAGCAACCAGATGGTAGGAGGAGGATGACTGGGAGCCTTGAGAATAGACCTGGCCTTCTTACGACATCTAACTGAGTACTGTAGATATCCTGGACGTTTGATAAATAAAGAAGGCCAGAGGACTTTCAGATTATCACAAAATAAAATGTGCTTGGTGTGAGTTACTATATTCATGAGACAGATTTACAACACTCCCAACTGTCTGTGATGTACCTGTAAATGACCTCTATTGCATACAGTGGCGAAAGAGTAGCAGTCGAGCACCAGCCTGTAAGAGCTTCTCTCCTCAATGATAAGGGAGTTTCTCAAGATCCCAGTGTTTGTTGTAAGTTGTCATAGAAAATTCAGTGATTTCTGTATGTAAAAATAGGACAATACTGAGAAGCGTGAGATATATTTCTATACAGCTGCACTTGGGGAAGTTACCTGTGTCCATTGTGAATGGTCAAGGGTACCGTTTTGTGACCTACAACACTGAGCTGAAATGAGCACCAGACGACATCGATTAAAACAGCTGCCTCAGATGCGCTGAGCTTTTCTTTTTTTTAATTTTTAATTTTAGAGAACAAAACAAAACCATTTTACATAGAAACCACCATTATTCAGCCTTACATCACAGGCACAAATTCCCGTTTGTTCCCCTAGTATTTTACAATTATATACGCACTTTTCATATGCAGTCTTAGACAGCTTTGACACCTCTTTGCCTGAGAGGACCTGAACTGAAATTTCTCATGTCAACCATCCCCTGCCCAATTCCACCACAAAACTGCACCGCGGTAAATTTGCAGGCCAAGGCACACCCTCAGCTCTTCCATGTTCGTACTCTGGATTTACCCTGCCAGTGACACAGCTCACGTTGAACCACGGCCCCTCCTGCGCGAACAGCCGTGATCTTCGCACGAGGATATACTGTGCCCCGTCTAACGGCCTGTTTCTACTGTTCTTCTCTGAAGGGGTTTACCACCGCCCAGGCCGTGGAGATCCTGGCCCGGGACGGCCCCAACGCTCTCACCCCGCCCCCCACCACCCCGGAATGGGTGAAGTTCTGCCGGCAGCTTTTCGGGGGCTTCTCCATCCTGCTGTGGATCGGGGCCATCCTCTGCTTCCTGGCCTACAGCATTCAGGCGGCCATGGAGGATGAGCCGGCCAACGACAACGTGAGCCCAACCAGTCGTCCTCTCCGAGGGTCCTATTAATAGACACAGACTCCCCCCTCCCTGATAAGGCCGAGCCCACCCGCTGCCATGTCCCTTAAAGTAATACTCACTGGCATCCCCACTCGGGGGAGCTGAGCCGGAATATCACGGAGCCGCTGGAATATTTAGGATCCAGTTCACAAACGGTGCCCCGGCGGCTTGTTTGGTTTGGTTACCACCCAGCAACGGCCTCGGGGGCCTCTCGGGAGCCCCTTCCACACGGCGGCGCTCGGAAGTCGAACGTTTCTTCTGTGGCGTGTGCGGTGCTGCTCTTTCCCTTTCGAAAATGGTCACGGCTGGCCGGAGAACAACTTCAGCCGTGGTTCCGTCCTGCTCCGGGACTCACTTCCTCAAAGAAAGGAGTTCACACGCCTCTCCTCCTCGGTTCCATTTCGATGATCGGTGTGACCGATGAGGCAGGGGGGAGGTCAAAGGTGAAACTTGACCAAACTCAGGAAGGGAGATGCTGCTTCTTAACTGTCCTGGTTTCCCCCGTTAAGATCGCTGAAAGTGGTTCGTTTTTGTGAACTTCCACGTTTGAAGTTGCAGAGCACACCCTCGCATCCACCTAATGGAAAAATCTGACGACGCCCGAGGGAGTTTCAGGGTCCAAAATCCAAGGTTTAAGTGGTGGAGGCAATTTCAATTAAAAATGAACTACAAACCCGATCAGGTGAACGGGAAATATAGGATCCAGCTTTCACGACTCAGGAGTTTGGAATGATCATGCTCAGGCGATGCAATGCTCTTTCCTAGCACTGACCGATACCGAACTGACTGGGCTCGAGGAGGTGTGTGTCAAAGGGAGTGGCAATTTCTTCTCCTGTTCGTCGTGCTGTTTTCTTGGTTTGAAATCCGGTCACCAGTCGTGACCAGTGGTTATTTAGTGTCCGGAGGTCAATATTGGTTGACTTTGCCATTGTCCGCTCTGTTTCAGCTGTACCTGGGGGTGGTCCTAGCGGCCGTCGTCATCATCACGGGCTGTTTCTCCTACTACCAGGAAGCCAAGAGCTCCCGGATCATGGACTCCTTCAAGAACATGGTGCCTCAGGTATCTGGCACTGCTTTGTCCCTGGACAGCTATTGTTACGTTAATGCCATTCATCCTTATGTATGAAAATTTCCATGTATGGGGATCTGTGAAATATATTTAGTTTTGCAGCTGTTCCTTTTCTGGAGACAGTATGTAGTTTTTTATGTGTTTGCACTGTTTTATAGCTTCTTCTGTTGTAGGTGAATTGTTTCTGGCATTGTAGTTGACAGTGCTTTGTGATGGATGCTTTGCTCAAGAGATGCAATAGGAAAGCAGATTTAATTGATGGGTCTGTGTAGTTTTCCAAAGGTCAGCATGAGTATTATAAGACAATGGGAACTGATGCATTCATTTTTGCAGCTCTCGAAGATCATTGCTTAATCTTGTCTTGTATGCATTTGTGTTCATGATTATTTTCCGGGGGGAAGCGTTTTCCTGATCTTTCATCTTCCATATGTACTTATCTGACACATTAGCAAATCCTTCAAACAGAGCTTCAAGTACAAGCGGGAGAGTAAACAAACTTTTCCTTGGGATTTAATGGAAACTATTCAAATTCTGCAGCCGAGCCAAGTACCTCTCCATTATACTGATGATATTTATAACAAAGAACAATGCGCTCTGGAAAATATCTTCTCTGAATAGTTTAACAGTGAGGGATCTGTTTCAGTCTCACACATTGACTCTCTCCCTAACAGCCAAGCAATCTGTTCCGAAAACAAACGCAAGAGTTAGGCCGAAACATTCTTAACCCTTGCGTGGTCTGGAGCTGAGCTTGACATTTACGAGCAAGCCAATGTCTCAGACGGCTGGATCAGTCAGTAGGTTCAATTGCTTTTCTCATGATGCCATCAGAAAGATGAATGTACTGTGCTGCATTCAGCAACAGGAGCAAAAAAATAAATAAATGCCAATCGGCTAACCCATGCTGTTCTGGTACCCCAGCAAGCCCTGGTAATCCGGGACGGAGAGAAGCTTCAGATCAATGCAGAAGAAGTGGTTCTGGGGGACCTAGTCGAGATCAAGGGTGGAGACCGGATCCCAGCTGACCTTCGGATCATCTCTTCACATGGCTGCAAGGTCAAATTTTGTTATTGGGTCTGTTTTCCTCCCACAGTCCACAGACATACCGGTAGGTGAATTGGCGCCAGGGAAACTTGGCCCTGGTGTGAGTGAGTGCGTGACTGTATCTGTGTGCCCCCCGCAATGGCATTCCATCAAAGGCGTATCCTGTCTTGTGCCCTTGCTGGACTCCAGCTACTGTAGCCTGTAACCTGTATTGGATTAGACG